TGTTTCCTCTCCTACCTCCTTCCACATCTCCCATGTTTCCTCTCCTACCTCCTTCCACATCTCACATGTTTCCTCTCCTACCTCCTTCCCTCACTCTCGTGTTTCCTGCATTCAGGGCGGCGGCTCAGCGGTCATCGACATGGAGAACATGGACGACACGTCGGGCTCGAGCTTTGAGGACATGGGCGAGATGCACCAGAGGATGAAGGAGGAGGAGGAGGTCGCGGCAGAGGCTGCCGCCACCGAGGACGACGTGGCCGACGACGGCGAGTTCCTGGGCATGAAGGGGTTAAAGGGTCAGCTGGGCCGGCAGGTGGCCGACGAGGTGAGGCGGGGGCGGGGTTATCTGGTGTCAAACAGTTGCAAACATTTTCTTCCTCTGTAGCTGTTAGCTGCTGTTACAGAGGCCGGCTGAAGCTCCTCTGTGCCACACAAAGACCGGCGCTGTCGTGTTCAGGAGAAACGTCTGTCAGCTAAAAAGATTTCATTTGTGTTGGCAGTTGAAATTACAAGTTTACACAGCGCTGTGGATCTGTGTGTGAAATCGAGCATCAGGTTCACCAAAAGGATAACCCTCAAACACAGCACAACTTTCTATAGTGAGACAAAAACAGAGATTATCTGGCTCCCACACAGACGCGGCGGTCGTGCTGTCTGCCTGCGAATCCTCGTCCATCGTCCGGTACCTGCTTCTCTGTCAGAGACAGCAAAGGAAAACACCTTCCTGCCTCGCCTTGATAATCTAATGTTATGATCCATCGTTCTTCTACTGACTCTAAGTTCTGGTTCAGAATGTCTTGTTCGGACGCTCGAACCCAGAGACTTATTCCAACTGTTATCTGTGTGTAAGCGTGTCGAACAAACCTCTGCAGTCATTCCTACAGCTGATCAGTCCGGACAGTCACGCCGGACGAAGCTTTCCACCTTCAAAGGAGTGCCAACCCATACGAGCACATGCAGTGTGTATATAAATATAATTACAGCAGCTTTATTTAACAGCTCCTGGACGCCTCCGTTGTTACTTAGTGACGTCACTCTTACCGCGTTTTTCACTGCTACCTGCTCGGCTTCAGTCATTTGACGTCAACGGTGACGACAGTCCTATGACGTCGTTTTAACGTGACACAAACACAACAGTGGAGGATGTCGAGGCGACGGTGCACCCGCT